AGAGCCCAAGACTGCTGCCTCTCCCCCAATCCCTTGCTTCGGTTTGGAAACAAGAGCTGCAAAGTTTTAACCAACTGAGTATCTGATAGGAAATAAAGAATAATGGACCTTGCATAGACCCTATACAGTTTGGGGCAAACAAAACTCTGCTTTCATTTCCATGCATGCAATCCCACTCGAGTCCCAGTGTCCATACATCCCATGGATGAACAGCACCATTCAGTGAGCTGTAAAGGGGCCTTGCCTCAGTCTTCCCCACTTATCCAATGGGCATCAAGGGACTTACCTGAACAAGAAGGTGCAACACAAGGCTTAATTCATTAACACTGGGAAAGTGCCGTGAAAGAAGGGCGCCGTACAGAAAAGGTGATCGGCTCCTTGGTATATTCACCTGTGCCATCCGAGAAGCTGATGCCCGACTCGCGAGATGCGTGCACTTTGGTATTTTCCATTATTCAATTCCTAATAAACAGTCTACCTGAAGGAACTTTAAACCCTGAAACCTAAGCAATAATTGCTTTGTAAGTGTCTGCTAATGACATGCTTTTAAGATAGAAAATAAAAATCTACATTTCCCTGGAAACACACAGTCACCATGGGTGTACTTCTTTCAAAAATACCTCTGAAAGCTAGGATTTCTCCCTATGTATGTGACCTTGATCCCTACACGGCACAGGGGCTCAGAGATCAAGTTACTGAGTTGTTTGCAGATAAAGGGAGAAAGGAGAAAAAAAAGGGCTAAAATTAATGGGTCACTGGGTATTTTCTTCTAAGAATTTAAGTACTTAACAGTAAGGGAAAACAAGCAGTTTACAGCCAGGTGGCTTGAGGGGGTATTTTGTTGAACACTGATTAAAAATAATTTCTTCTAAATGAGACCTGACCACAAAATGGGCCCATTAACGAGCAGGGACATTCTCACTAGAAAGGAAACCATGCTTGATCGACTCCCTGGTTTGGTGGGTTTTCTCCTCCTCCTCTATTTATTTTTTTTCCTCTCCCCTTCTCTCCCCTTTTCTCGTGCTTACGAGCAGGGCAAATAAGCACAAGTGATGCTGAAATGTTTTCAGCCAAAAAAACAGAGGCCGAACTCCTCCGAGGAAACTCTCAGCCTCTGTGGTTTTGTAATATGTTCCAGGACACCGAGTGCCCCGACAAACACGGTGAAACGCTCCCACCGATTGGAGCGACGCTGGGGAATGCGACAGCATCACCACCTCCAATTGGTCCAGTTCCTGCAGGCCCATAATGAGCCTTGTAAAAAGCAAGAAAGAAATAAATAAAATAGCGCTATGTGGGAGTTAAAACAAGTTCTCATGGGAAAAATGAATGGCAAGAAATTCTAGCTTTAAAAGAAACAGCTAATCTGCTGGTTTGATTGTTCTTCAAAACTTACAATGAACCAATAATCCTAATTAAAAACACTTGCCCTAGTTCTATAAAGCATCATAGCTTTTCCTATGCTTCGTTTGTACACCACCGTAGACTATTATTTTTTTTTTTTCCTAGTGCTCACTAACAAAATGCTGACTTTGTTGGGATGGCTGAGCTAATTTCGTGAACTCAGTGTGAAACCTTAGCTAAACAAAATTGTGGTAATTTTCCTTAATTTGTAAAAGTGATTGGAGTGCAAACAAAATTTTCCTCTTGGGTCAATCCTATAATTTTCAATTAACTAAAACTAATCGGCAGGCATGCACTGAACCTGCATTTTGTTTAAAGGGCTGGAAGGCATTTCTAAAGGTCAGATGCATTAATTGTTTTTATTTTATTTTCAGGTTCGCCTTCTTTAAAAAAAAGAAAAGCAGGCCAGGTTTCATAAGTTGTCTATAAAAGGACAGAGGAAGGAGTAATATGTGGGGTATGATGCTGGTCAGAAGAGAATTTATACATCTGTCCTATTTTTATGGCATATATACAATTAAGGGAATCTGCCTTTGAATCCAGCTGTCATTTTTGCGTCGTTCTTCATCATTTTCACTCCCCGAACAAAAACATGTTAAGCTGAAAATGGCACAAATAAAGCAATAAACTAAATGGGAATGCTGTTAATGACTGGAACAATTGAGTCATATCAAGTCACTCTTCTGCTTTTGAACAGATAGCCCAAAACATGCCTCTTTCTTCTTGAAAGGACTTAATTAAAGGTGATTCAGAAAACCAAAATCAAAACCAATTGGGCTTGGCCCTTTTTCTGCTTCTTCACATGGAGAAGGGAGACATGAAAGTTTCCCCTGCAAAGAATATTTGGGGAATGGGTTGCCTTCTTTGTTATTTTTTAATCTACATATCCCATCTGCCCAAGACAAAACAGTCTATGCCCGGAGAACAGTGAAATAACATTTAGTCACGGGAGTGAAAAATGAGACTGAGACAGACTTTTTAGTCAAACTATTTAGGATTCTCTGGGTCACATCCTCAGCTGGTGAAAACTGTCCATATTAAGCATCCAACAACGGGAACCCTTGCTTATCCTTTGCTCTTGTAATATTTATTTAGCTTCAATGACTAATTAAGCCATTTGAATAAAGCACATGCTTTGACTTTTCTGCCCATTCATTCAAAAGCTAGCACTCCTACTAACCATACTCCGAGACCCAATGATCACCTGCACCTTGGCAGAGAAGACCTGTCGTGAACATTTCAGGCCCAATTTAACCAAAAACCCTGATGAAGCACGAACATGTCTCTGCAAGGCACCGTTATGCAAACCATTCTGCATCAGTGAAATCACATGGGAACAGAGCTCACCTGTTTGTACCGACACAGCCCATAATGCACCCTCCACACACATGCATGCACATATGACGGTGTATGTGCATCAAGAGCACCACACGGGCCACTGCGGGCTTGGTGAGTAGTTCATATCCAGGAGCTTTTCAAATAGTTCTTGTATTTAACCTTCTCTGGGAGCTCAGGAGACCTGCCACAGCTCAGGATTTACCACAACCCACAAACACAGCAAGGAACCAAGGAGTCCTGTATAGACACCCCAGAGACAGGTCTAGGGATAAATGTAATAGAGCCCAGTGCAATGGAAATCATAGAAATGAAGAGCTGGAAGGGGCTTTGAAATTTTATCAAGTCCAACCTCCTGCTCCTGCTCTGGGCCAGAGTACTGCTGAGATCAAACAATCCCAGCAAGGCGTCTGTCCAGTCTCCTCTTGAAGACTTCCAAGGTTGAGGGCCGCACCACCTCCTTGGGAAGTCAATTCCAGATTCTGGGCACCCTTACCGTAAACACGTTCTTCCTTGCATCCAACCTGAAACCATCCTCTGACAGTTCATGGCCACTGCTCCTTGTCCTCCCCTGGGCTGCTCTAGTGAACAGTTTTTCTCCCAGCTCCTGATATTCACCCCTTACATACTTATAGACGGCCACCAAGGCCCCCTCAGTCCTCTCTTCCCCAGGCTGAGCAGTCCCAGATCCCTCAGTCTTTCCCCATAAGGTTTGTCCTCCAAGCCCTTCATCATCCTTGTGGCCCTTGTTGGGACCCTTGCAAGATCCTCCACCTCTTCTTTGAAGTGCAGCGCCCAGAACTGGACACAGGACTGCAGCTGGGGTCTCGCCAGCGCCGAGTCGACAGGAAGTATCACTTCCTAACTCTTGTAAAGTGACTCCGAAGAGGTTGGCACCACAGGCTTTATAGATATATAATATGTAATATATATATACATAATATAGATATATATAGATATATAAAACTATAAAATATACATATAAAACTATAAAATAATATAATAAATATAAAATAATCTCTCTATTTTATATATATTTATATATCATATTTATCTGTATAATGGATATTTATTTATATAGCTACATCTATATCTATCTATATCAGTAGCTACCAACCTTTTTTTGCTGCAAGCCTAAATCTGGGTCGTGACCCCCGACTCACTCATGCCCAGTGGCGCCAACAGAGCCTGGGCCGAGTTGGGATCGTGGGGGCAGCAGGCGGCAAAAGCCGCATGGACCACTCACTGGGAGAGCCCCGCAGGCAGGAGGGGTGGAGCAAGGGGCGGACCCCCCACGATACTGATTTGGGTCGCACCCCAAGATCGGGAGCCACTGATCAATCTACCTATCTATCTATAATGGACAGCTAGGCTGGTACCACAGGTTATCCATTATATATATGTATTTATATATTGATTGATCTATCTATCTAGATATCTCTCTATATATCTAGATATAGATATTAGCGATCTAGATAGATAGAGATATCTATCTATCTAGAAATAGAGATTATTTTATATATATTATTTTATAGTTTTATATATATAAAATAGATGGCTAGGATACTGCTTGACTGTATTTAAATCCAGTCCTTATCCCTCCACAATGTGGTTTCACATGATTCCTAACTATTTGGGATGCCCCATGGCCATGCATTTTAAGGGGGAAAATAAAACCCTTAACCAGTCCTCCCATGCGATCTCTGCATGGAAGAGGCTCCCCAAATGCACTGCTATCCACAAGCGTGCATGGGACAGCTGCCCAGCTTTCCTAGAAGGCAGAGATAAACACAGCGGTGCCACACAGTAGATGTGGGCAGGCCAGCATGCTTATGCTTGGAGAGATCCGGCGACGTGGACACACTGGATTGCACTGCTCTAACGGCGTCAGAGGAGAGTGCATAGCTGAGGGTCTCAGCCACGAAGAGACAGCCTTACTTGTGCTGGCTCGTTGTGCTTCTTCATTAGGCCTTTACACCTCTGTTTAGGCATGGACCCACTGTGCATCACCATAATTATGAAATAATCTCTTATTTTCTCCTTCCTGGAGGAGGTAGGAGCAAATATACAAATGATCCCCGTTCCAAAAAAAGTGCATTTTTGCAATGACCTATAGCCACCCATTCACTAAAAATCAAACCTTACTATGAAGTTGCAAGTGATAGCAATAAAACCCAGGACTGGCAGTCCCAGCAGCTGGGAGTTCGGTCCGCTGCTTGCCCTCGTTTTATACATTGCAGCTGGTGCTAAAGCAGTCTTACCAGTGTAAATGAACCTCCCAGGCGTTCCCTTGCAGAACTGCTTCGATTTGTAGGACAATGTGACTTCTACCACACCAGGGATGTGTCGGGGAGGCGTCTGAACTCGGATTGCATGAGGAGTAATCAGCTAGAAGAAAACAGAGGGAGTGGGGGGGAAAAAAGCACTGTTACAAGCCGAACACTTCTTTAATAACACTTTCCTCTCGGATCTCAGTAAACAAAGCTTTGAAACGTGTAATTAACCTGTCAATGTTTGAATACAATCTTGATGTAACCCACATAAAAGCCAGTGACAACAATATTTACAAGCATTCTCCTTCTCAGCCATAACAACATTATCTCAGTTGTCATACACGCGAAGCACTTGCTTCCTTCTATGAACATTAAGCCTGGCTTAGTGCGACGGCTCAAGCCAGCACACGCCAGATGAAGGTTTTATACTCCGGTGGTCACAACGGTGCCTGACTAACACACGCTTTACAAACGGGGGATTTGCTAAAGGTTTGGACAAAAACTGTTACAGTAAGGTGGGCAAAGGTTAAATCTATTGAGCACTTGGACTCTAGGTGTGCAGTGGAACACGTGCCATTTAAACATGTGGATCCCAAGTCTACCACCATCGTGTACATACATGTGATGGTGCATTTCTAGCGCAACTCTGTGCAAACCTGCTTTTCACTACTGGAGCAAACAGGAACGACTGCACAATGGGTATGTCTATACCAGCTCCAGACCACACAAAGAGCATTGCAACGAAGCATAGCACGCCTACCATGTGTGCAAGGCACACGAAGATGAAGGTAAATGTGGGTATCTGATGGGCCATGACACGTTTACTGCCAGATAATTTTCTCAGATATTACTCTGGAGTAAAATTACACCGCTACGTTCAGTGGACATGTGGCCCCCTCTCCCATGGTAGATGTATTACAAGACCTTGCCACTAGGTGGCAGGGAAGATGGTGATAATAACGTGTCTGCACCGAACAAACAGCCACCCAGGGATGGAACGGAGGAGAGCTGTGAACACACTATACTAGCGTAATTTTACCCGAAGTAAAGTTAAGTCCAATTGTTCCCAGAGGTAACGTCACTCCAGAATCAAGTGACTTACCCTGTAGTAATGCTGTGCATGCTCTTCCCATTTTCACTGCAAAGTCCATTTACGTGTCATATGTCTGCACCCTCAGAGTAGCTGTGAGTGTGTGCCAACACCCTTGCTTTAGAGAGTGGTTATTTCGTGTGCCCAGTGCTGCCCTAGGGTGGTTACACTACCCTCATTTTGGTGGTTAGTGAACAGTGGCTGTGTCTACACAAGACACTCTACTGTGCAGTAGACTACTGTGCAGTAAAGCATCACCATCCACACATGCAGGCTTAGTCTACTGCGCAGTAAATTAACTGCACAGTAAAGCCAAATAGCATTAATTGCACATGCAGATGCACCCACAGAGTGGGCACATTCTCCATCATTGCTCAAGGCTGTGGCAACATCCACCCCCATCTTGCCATGCCCTCTCCTGAGCCCAGACTGCCCTCTCAGAAAAGGGCTGTGAAAAGGTCAGCCACTTACTCTGCAGAGCAGCTGTAGGAGCCAAACAAACACTTGGGGCATCCAGGCATGGTTTCTGGTCTGCAGGAAATGAGATGGTTGTGTCTAGAAGTGGGGCAAGACCCCAGTGGAAAGACTTTAAAGGAATCTCCAGAGCCCCTCTACCTTCACGTTATTATTATCCAAGCTTTCCTGTGACTTTCGAAGAGGCCTGCCTGGAGGGAAGCATGCCATGGGGGCAGGAGGAGCAGTGGGGTGGGTGGTGGGTTTGGTGAAAAGCCTTACACACATATCAGAAGAGAAGAAATCGTTTACATTTAATAGAATGGGCTGAACCCCACAGCTCTTGTGCTGAAGGGAGCCCGACTGCCTTGATTTTAGAGCACGTCACTGGTTGTTTATTGGAGCGAGTCAATGTTTCATGGCAAGGCGCACTGGATGAAAAATTAAGATGAAACCTTTCTGATAATGGTTTGGGGGTTTTGTTGGTTTGGGGTTTTTTTATTTTATTTTATTTTTTTAATTTTTTTTTTATAAAAACTTTCTTTTTTGCAATTTTTTTTCAATTTTTGCAGACCAAAGAGGGGTTTCTTCCTCCTGAATGACAACCAAACACTTCGGAAAAGCATTTTCAAAAGCTATTTTTTCTGATTTTTAATTTAAAAGTAGGCTTAAAAAAATTAAAAGGAAAAGAAAAGAAATGTAATACATCCCTACAAAAGTCACGGGCCCTTTGTGGTCATCTCTAGTTTGTCTGTTGTGTGAGGTTTGAGCACAACTCCTAACACCCTCCCCCCTATATCTCAAGAATGAAAATCCCCAAAGAAAAGAGTTGGCAACAAAACACTGAAGAACCAGGAATGCTGCTCAGAAATGCAGCCATCTCCTTATGTGAATGAAACGCACTGTAAAAAGTTCCCATACATTTAAAAAAAAAATTGATGGAAAAAAAGAAGTCAGTGCTACCGCCCCCAAGTGTTCAGAAGAATGAATCAGACCCCCCAAGAAATCAAAAGACTGGATTAAAAATCATGAGATTTAAAAATAAAAAATCAGCGGGGGGTTCTTCTTTTTTTCCTTTTGGTATTTTCAGGCTTACAAGCTTTTTCCTGAGGACCTAGATATTTACTTCTTATAATGAAATGTGTCATTTAAAAAAAATGAAGCCCAGCTGACTCCAGGAGCTGGCACTTTGAGAAAAGCAGTCATTGTTGCACGATTTTTAGGCTAGGGGCAGAAATCACACATATACCGGTATAAGTGATTGGAAACTGGTTCCAGTCTGTAACACAACAGAAGTTCAGTGCACATAAACCATTTTCAAAATAGCTGAAACCGGTTTAAGTTAACCTGGATGGATGCAATATCAGGCTGAACTGATTTAGGTTAAATTGGTTTGTTGAACTTCTGTGCCAGACCCCCTCCAGATTCAAGTTCACTCACGGTCCCCCAACATCCCAGGATGCTTTGCACCTCCTCCATAAACCCTGCCCTCATAGGATGGGTGGGCTAGCTTTGGCCCAAGTTGTCAGCTCCAGCCCAGCAGGGAGGTGTGCTCTAGCACCCCCCGGCTTCTGGCCTAAGCCACTGCAGGCATGTGGCTGCATTTCTGGGATCAAAAGTGAATGTCTGTTCAGTTGCTTGTCAGTTCAATCTACGCAGGTATGACTAACCTGCAAAGATTACATCCATTCAACCTCGGGTTTTTTTGACTGTCTGTACTTAGCCCCTATGAAAGCACATGTATTGGACACAATAGAAAATGGGGGGGAAATAAATCATAAAGAAAAAATTGCTAAGGGCTTTAAAAAAGAAAAGTTTCCAGCCTCCCCTTCCACATCACCACACCAAGAGAGCTCATTGAAAGAGGCAGACTCTCGATGCATCTTTGCTTTCCCAGCCCTTACTGGTGTGGCACCACGTGAGTGGTCTTTCAGCATAACTTGTGGCATTTTCCAGTACACTTCTGCCCCAGTTCTCAAGAAATGCCTAACCTATTTATGGGACACTGTTACCAAGGACTGGGGCGAGTGAAGCCAGTTTGCTGGTTGGGTCTTTACAAACAGTTTGGTTTTCCTTTGTTCTCTGAAGTAAATAAATGTCACTGTGTTTAAAGCCACAAGAACACAACTCTCTCGCCCACACGTTCCCAAAGGGGGAACATAATGCCTCGAGTCCTGTGTTCCAGGACACTCAGGTTATATTTTGCTCTAATGTAGGCCTTGATGTGCAGAGAACAGGAAATCTGAGTTTTATAAACCCATGGGCTCTCCAGCTTTCTGTGCAACAGAAAGAGCTCAATGCCATGAGTTTGCAGTGAGGTTTGATAAACGGCCTTATTAACCATTATGTCTGACATGTAATATGGCAGCACTTGCGAACACCGATCAAAAACCAGAGCTACACTCTTTTGAGCAGTGAAGAAGATAGGGGTGGAGGCAATGGTCCCTGGCTCTGACTGCCTGTATACTAGCACCAGGAGAAGGAATGACTCGATCCAAATAGCCCTTTCTCTGCTCCAAGATGCAGGTAGGAAGGAGGAAATGAAAAGCACTAGCCAATAGCGAGAGGCCATGAAATTAGACTTTCCTAAACCAAGACACTATATTTCAGCCACCCTGATGCCTATTCTTTTTTGAAGGTGGAGATTTCAAGCAAAGCATTCACCTCTGATTCAGAAATGAACCCACAAATCAAAACTTCTTCTTCCCCCTCAAGCTTTGGGAAAATTGGGCTCTGGATTCAGGCATTAACCATGCAGCTAGCCTCATTCTAGACCGGGATTTTTAGGTAAATTGGTCTAATACTTGGCATCTGTATCAGCTGTTTTATATAAACTCACTTATGTCAGTTGGGACACATAATGGATTGGATTAAAACCTGAATTGCAGAGGTCTCCAAAACAGAGTGAGGTACGTGCCCTTTAAAATCCAAAACACATTAGGGGTTGTATTTGCGCAATAAACCTCTTTTCATGGTTTGCTAATATATTTTAGACATTCTTGTGTGATGCAGCATCATTTCACACTGCGGAGGGTGCCAGGCCACTTTTTTTTCCTTTTTTTTTTTTAAAAGTGACATTGTATAAAGAGATGCTATTCATACAAGTCCCCAGTTTATTTTTGCTTGCTTGAGCACTAGTTTGTGGTTCCAGGCATGGTGACAATGAGTCATAAATTTAATTTGGATTTGAAGTGGAGGACCATTCAAACAGAGCTGATCAAAATGCAGCCTCATTCCCACTGTTGGGGCTGGTCCTGCTTGGAGCAGGGGTTGGACTGGATGTGACCGCCTGAGCTCCCTTCAATCCTCGTTGTCTATGACAGTGGTCTCCAAACTTTTTTGATCGCACACCCCATCAGTAAAAAATTTTTGAGCACACCCCCCCAATATATGTACATTTATATTCGTGCACCCTTATCAGTAAAAAAATTTTGAGCACACACCCCCAATATAT